ATATTTTACATTCCATGTAGGATGAAAAAAATTTCCATCTATTTTTTTAATGAGGGCTCTGGACAAGGAGCGTAAGTTTCTTTTTTGGAAAATTATCTTATTGCTAACTCTGGCAGATTAATGAAGCTGTTCTGAGCCAAATTATTTCATCATACTCTGATTAAGGAACTCCTCATCTGAGAAACCTATAAAATTTTTATACTCTTCAATTGATACCACTGGCACGACCGAATTCTCTAAAGGATCTCCTGTCGTAGGCAGTAGTCGCACACCCCGCTCCTAGGACTCCTGTCTTGTGAGTCAGCCCCCCGCTTCCTTCCCTGTACCCCTTGCCCAGGGAGCCTGGACTAGCTTGAAAGCTCTCACAGCCTTTCTTCCTTATTGAAAAATCACGACCAGGACCCCATACAGATCCCAAAGGAGAGCAATTACCAGAAGCTTCTTTCCACTATTCTGCTAGGTGAAATGATAGGCTTCTTTTCCAACTCAAGATAAGGAGAAGCTTTAAAACAGGCAGTCTCTCAGACTAACAAAAGTAGAAAAAGTATAGGAAAAGAAAATTTTACCAAAATTGTTCTCTATGCGGTGAGATTCTCCTGAAGAAGTTGAGTTTGGCATGATTTTTAAAATTTCACCCAAGTTGTTATAAAATCATTAACATCAACAATGTCTTTAGTTAACAACTAATATGTATTGAGTACCACTGTGCTCTATTTGCTCCTCAGGCAATGACCTGTCTTGTTTTACAGAAGAGAATACTTAAGAGTTAGGAAAGTTTAGTACTTTTTCCCAAATCTGATGTGTTTCACTTCCAAGCCACAGCACATTCACCATTCTACCACTGGACTAAAGCACTGTCCATAATTTTAAACTGTTTGCATTTCTCGAGAAGTAAATATATATATATATATATATGTATATGATATACACACATCCATGTATATACTCACACAGTTTTTTGTCTGGGTTTTGCATATGCTAAGCATGCTACCACTGAGCTACCACGCCAAACCTGATCCATATTCTTTTCATACCTAACAAAGTATTCGTCGCTTTACATGAACCCATTTCATTCACTACAAGATTAGAATTAGCACTAAGACAACACAGCTTTCATTTCACAAAGCTTTTAAATATATATGGTAATAACTTCTTCTTTTAATGTTTACCCAAATAAGAACATACTTTAAAGGAAGGAAACTAAATGAGTGTTCATAAGGCTAATGTCTATCTAAGGTTCATGCACAGGAGTGTTTTTTAAACATCTTTTCAAAACCACTGTGAATAAACATGTATGTGAAGCATAACTTCCTAAGTATAATTAGCAATTTGGGGGGGGCCAAAAATGTTTCCTAACTATGAACATACAATCTGTAAAACAATCAATGTTTTTACAAAATAACATTTGTTTTGTTTTTGTTTTTTGAGCTAGGGACTCTCTGTGCAGTTCAGGCTGGTCTTGAACTACATAGCTCAGGCTGGTTGGTGATTCTCCTGCCTCAGCTTCTCAAGTGCTGGGGTTATTGGTGTGTCCTACCACACTCACCACAAAATAACATTTTTTACAAAAGCCTTTTTACTAGCTCTGTTCACATCTATCTTTTTCTACTTACCACTGTTATTTCATACAACTTACTACAAATAGTATCTACTCTACTACAAAAAAATTCCAAAATTTTGAACCTTTCAAACTTTTAACTCATCAAATATGCTTTTCACGCTATGAATTGATTCTATATATAAAATCTGATACACATTGATGTCAAAATTAAAACAAAAAGCAATGCCAGATTTTAAAGCAAATACTGTGCATGTAATATAGCTGCAGCTTTGCAAAAAATTGATATTTGATGCTCAAAAAACATTCTCAGAGCGGAAAACTGCTTAAGCCATTTTTTCTTCTTGAATACACAATGTAAATTAATCTATTTCCTCAGTTCTTAAGGTTAATTTGTGTTGTAAAAGTTTTAATAAAGTTCACTTAAAGTTTAACTCAGTAAAACTGGCTTCTGAACACATTAATTTAGCCACAAACCTATTTCAGTCAACTATGATTAAATTAAAAATCATCCAGGCAAGTTATAATTACTTTCTGTTCATCCACATTTCTCAAAAACAGAAGCATATACGTTTCCCACAATCTTGATATATTCCTCTCTAAGGGATGTGTGTGTGTGTGTGTGTGTGTGTGTGTGTGTATTGGGGAAAGCTTATTTGAAAAACAGGGGCAAAATGAGAAGTTCTATACAGTTCTATTCAATTAGCAATACCACTATACAAAAACTTTTAATACAGTCTCTATGTAATATCCATTATTTCATGCCATTAAAATGCAGTGGAAAACAACAACAAAATCTGATTGGATTTTACTATTGTTATCTGTCTTACACTTAGGTAAATCAACAGATAAGTTGTATGGATATAAAATATGCCCAAAAGCATATATAAAATGTCTTAGTACTTCCTACCACATAAATATTGTTTTTCCTTTTGTTATTAAACTTAAAACTGTGGTGTTCACTTTTATAAGAAATGTTACAGAATGACCACAGGGTTACTCCCTTCAGTTCTATTCAATACAATGAATATGACATTTATTACGGTATCATTTTTCTTGCCCTTGAAATTTACTATAGTGCTTCTTAAAGCACTACAACTAAACTGGCCTGACCTTGTTTAAAACACAAAATTCCCTTCTTCAGGCCTGCTAATGCCACAACTCTGAGGGAAGGACTCAAGCCCTCAGATAATTCTTATAAAAGTTATGGTCTGAAAAACCCTATTTTCTATAGCCATTATCCTCTAACTTAAACCACAGAGTATTTAGGTAGATTTAAGAATTTTAAGAGTATTTTAAGTTTTTCACATAGTATAAATTGCATTTTAAAATGTAAGGCTAGGACACTGTCACAAAATGTGCTTTTTTTTTTTGGTACTGGGGATTGAACTCAGGTCCTTGTGCTTCCGCAGCAGGCAGTGAAACCACTGAGCTAAATCCCTGGCCCAACAAAATGTGTTTTTATAGCAATCTCAACCTTGCATTACATACAATTTAGGCAAGGCAAAATAAACAGTAGGACTATATTGTCATATGCCTTAGTTAAGAATTTCTAAGCAAAATAAAAGTGCATTAATTAATCACAGAATTTTACAGAGCATTATGCAGTGGCATAAAAGTCAATATAAAGGTTGAGTTAATAATATGCCTGGAAATGAATAAAGAATTTGGTGCTCTTTAAACACTTAAAAAAGATATCACTCTTCATCTATCAGAGCACAGGCACATTAATTTAGTTTTTAAAAATCCCAATATATCATTTCACAGACAAACTCCTATGAATTGGAACAAAAGACCTTCTATTATTAAAATATCTAGGTATTACTTTGCAACCCAACAAAAAAAAATCCTAAAAATCAATGTTAATACTACAGGAAATCAGAACTAAACAATATTTCTGCCCAAAGGTGTATTAATCAAGAGAAAACATCAAACCAACACAAATTGAGGGAATTTCTGCAAATCAACTATTCTATAGTGTGGTAAGGGTCAAAAATGGGGAAAGATGAAACACAAAACAAGGAGCATCTCCAGAGTAAGATGCAAGGAAATGGAATTCTTGAAGCTGGGCTGGATCTTGATCCGGAACACACAGGTGAGCACTGGAATCTACAACACGTCTGCAGAGTAAAGGTCCACACTGCTGTCGACTTCCTAATTTTGATCACTGAACTATAGCAATAAAGAGCGAGTCCCTGTTCTTAGGAAATACACACTTACTTTGAAATGGTTCTTAAAATACTATAAACAGAGAGAATACACACTACAGCCAACGGGGAACTTAACAGGTGAGGAATTTAAGCAAAGGCTTTCTAGGTCTTCCTAGCAACATTTCTGTAAGTTAAAAATTACTTCAAAATAAAAGTGTCAAAAATATTTTAAAGCTATAGCCAGAACACTAAAACTATAAACTCTTTGTAGTCATAAACTTCCTATCTAGAACCACTTATGTCTAAGTATTTTATAAATGTAGACTAAAATTATGAGCAAATTGTATTTTTTCTGAAATCTACAGGTGTCAATGACTTCATGTTTGAAATTATAAAACTGTGGGGTTTTTTGTTTTTCTATCAATTATGTATAATCCACATGCATTTGAAAGATATTCAAAATGTTAGTTTTTAGTTATTTTTCCTCCCATATTCACTTAATGATTTTTCTCAATTGCATAATCTATAATTGATTTTGGTTTAAAACAATCCTAAGTCAAAATGTTGTCTATTTAGTGGCAGCCTGATGTAAGTACCATGCACTACACGAACACACTGCATTTTGATAAAGCCCAGATAGTTATTTGGCAGTGTGTTTACTAACCAATCAAAAAAAAAAACAAAAACCTAACCAATCTAACCTGGTTTTTGTGCCCAAGTTACTGAGTAAGATGGAGTATAACATAGAAGGAAGATGTTGAAGGAAGATGTTAATTCCCTACAAGGGTACTTGCCACACAGCAGGCACAAAATAAATACAGACCTTCTGTGTGCAGGGAGGATTACTAAAAGATTCTGTTATCATTTGCAACACACCACTAGAAACCGTGAGCAGAAGCATAATAATTAGACGTTTAAAATATCTAAACATGCAAAAATAACACTTCTGAAAATCTACAGTTGTCAAGTTACAAAGGCTTTTGATGAAAATGTCTTTCTTATGTTTATTTTGGCATGCTTTTTTTGTAAGTTATAACTATCAGGGATGTTGCTGTATTAGTATCAAATTTATATATTATTGACCTCCCTATTCAAAGACTGAAGTAGGGAGAAATTAAAAATGAAATGCATTCATAGGAAATAAAGCAAAGGAATTCCAAATACTTTTTCTTTTTACTTTAGCACTTTAATTTCTACACAAATGACAGTTGAGAATTGGCTGACTATAGAAGATAACCATTCTAGATCTAAGGTTTAGACACGTTTTGAGAATATTAATGTAGGTCACCAAATAGTTTGATGTATTTCACTTTTATTAATTGCAATTCTCACTTCAAGATCTTCCACAACTTCAGAGGGAAAAAAAAGAGTATTACAGATGCTTGGAGGGAGTACAAGTCAAATTAAATCAAATTTTAGGAACAGGATTTAAAATATATTTCACAAGACAGGTATTTAATAAAGTAAATACGTGAATTTCATATACTACATTACCATAGGGGGGAAACTCCCTGAAAAATTCTTCCTTATAAAAGTTCAAGAGTAAAACTGCTCAAGTCGTACAAGAGCAGAATTAACAGTACCATTTTGAGAAACAGTAACCTAATACACGTTCCTCATCAAAACATTCAGCTGCAGGGAAAACATTAAAATGTAACATTACAGAAGAAATAGCACCTTTCATGAAGTTACTTAAAGTAAGTTTGCAAAACTATTCTGAATTCTGAACATCTAGACGAAAACAAATGGTACCGTAACACACCATCAAATATTTTTGAAAAGTGTAATGTTACATGTTGATTGTAAATGTAAACCATACAGAACATTTAAAGCAGAGTTATACTTAGGTATCTACAGCAGGCAAAAAGTTCTTTCAGTTTTTTTAGTTACATACTTATTCTCTCTCTAAACTTGATCAGTAAATCAGCATCCTTTAATACAGGAGGGAAAATTTTTAAAGGACCTATTTAAGAATTAAAATTCATGTATCATTGCTAAAGTTCTTTATTCATTAATTTTATACCCACCATTGAATTCCTATAGTCAGATAAAAATTTGATAGTATACATAACTGGGGAGAAAAAAATCTTTTGCAAATGCAAATCAGTATTATTACTAACAGTCTGGGTCAAAGATTAGATTTTTTTAATGGTATTAATAGTAGTCTGGTAAACATTTAGAAGTCTGGCATTAAGAAACAAAAGCTTGTACCTGACTAGTATTTTAATTTAAAAAATAATTAGTTCTGTTAGCCCATTTAAATTACTTTACATTTATTTATCCATAGAATTTATATTTATTTCATTTCTTTCATCTCACTGAAAACTGTCTGCAGGCTCTTTGATTTGGATTAGATGTGTGAAGTACTGTCTTTTGTCTAAAACTTCCAATTACCTGTTTTGGTTTTTTTTCCAATATAGTGGGTTTGTGGTTGTTTGGAGATCAGTTCAAAAACTATCTGTACTATCCTGTACTGCCTTTGATGTTAAGATTTTATGTACAGAATAAGAAGCTAGCTCTGACTATATTTTCCTAAGCATAAAGACCTATTTTTGTAGCATGAAAAAAAAAAAGAATTAAAATTCTGTGTATCCTTTTCTTAAACACAAGGACAGGAGATTCATTACAAGACTCTTTGCTATTCAGTGGAATTCAGAATAAAATGAGTCTCTTTTACATCAGATCTGGAAACCTTTGGTTATGTAAATACCACAAGGGATTCATTTTTATAAGATAATTCCACAGCCTGGAGCAGCCTTTCCTAAGCAGAGACTGGAGTACAATATTAAAATCAGACATCATAGTTTTTTAACCAGTGGGAAAAACTATAGACTTACATTTTTTTAACCTCTTCAATTCCTTATCATTGAAAATGTTGCCTTTAAATGGTTTATTTAGGAAAAAACAAATTTTCCTAGTAAGTAACTTCAGTGGCCAAATAATATTTTCAGAGAATATTTTTCTCAGCCTGTGGGCACAGCTCAATGGTAGAGCATTTGCTTAGCATGTATGAGGCCCTTTGCTTCTATCTCCAGCAAAAAAGAAAGAAAGAAAGAAAATCATTGTGACATCTTGAATATTTTTTATGCTGCTACTTTATATTAAAATTCTTACTACAGCCAATTATTCATACTTGCAAATGCAGTTTTTAACCACAAATGCTGCCTTATTAATTTGAAAAACAGATTGTGGGTTCCATTACATCAGTCAGTTATTGTAATTTTCTATTTGTTTTCATTTGTAGGTATCACATAAATGTCCATGGCAGGTGTCGTAATATAAAGTTATTAAACTAATTTCTAAGATCTAAATTTTTTTTTTTTTGTACCAGGGATCGAACTCAGGACCTTGCGCTTGCGAGGCAGGCACAGCACCACTGAGCTAAATCCCTGGCATGTTAAACTAATTTCTAAACATTGACTTAAAAAGCCTTGAGCATATGTTGCACAAATTAACTGAAACTAACAAAATTTTTCCCCCACATATGACACCCAATTATTTTCTAAATGATCAAGACCTACCCAGGAGTTGATGCTATTTGCACAGTTCTCGTAAAAAAACAGACTTGACACAATGTGAAGACAAATATTGGTAAACATTTCGAATTATATTTTAAGAAACAATCCAATCCGTGATCTTTCATGGAGTTATTCTTGGTATTAAAACTTGGACTCAAGTAATCCTGGTTATTCTGGAAGAAGCACCTTGTTCATAGGGCTCTTTACTCATCTTTCTCTACAACTGCCTCTCCGTGAAGCACCTTTCTTCTTTGACGCAGCATATGGAAATAGAGCTGTGGGAACACTTGATGGAAACAAAGAAAACAAAGAAAGATAAGCCAGTGTTTGAGACTGTTTACGCTCGAAAACTGACAAATGCGGCAGTTGGAGAACATGTTCATTGTGCACCTTCGCTACCTCCTGATATTTATGGACGTAAGGATGTGAGCAAGCTGATGGAGGCCCACACACTGCCTAACTACTGTAACGCAATAGATGAGGTCTTACTGTTTTAGAAAACTTAGTATTTTGATAAAATCCTTCATAATGTCCTGGAAGGCCATGCTTGAATTTTGAATTTAATAAATCTTTGAAATATTTGCCAGAACCAAGGAAAGCGGGGCCCAAATGCCTCCTTTCCTGTTCCATCGGCTACAGACTGTGCGTGTGTGAACCAGCGCATCCACAGCCTTCATCAACAGCCACCCCGGGACCTCAGCGCTGTACACACCGGCAACACGCACGGCACTGGGGTGATGGGAGGAGGAGGCCTGTGTGGGCCAGTGCCATGGTCCCAGGTTTGCAGAATGTGCTACAGTGGGGAGCTGCCTGTGACCTGGGAAGAGCCGGCATGGGGTCCTCCAAATAGACGCAGAGTAGGTGCTCCTGAAAGCAGAGGCTAAGGGAGGTCTGGTACATACAAACACATGAAAATACATGCTCACGACTGGACGGATGGTCATCTGCCCAGATTTGGGGACTATTTTGAGCCAATCTGAACCAATGATTTTAATCACAGTATAAACGCTGGTGCATCAACAAAGTGACACCAGCTAGAAATCATAGAAATGTAAAAATAATAGACAGAGTAACCAAACCATATTCACAGAACAAGCTGTGAGTATCGCACTCAGGCAACTCTGTGTAAAAAAATTATTTTCAGAATTTTGTTTAGACAGAGCAAAAATCCACACTAGTTTTTATTGTTTAAATTTAGGTAGCTCCCATCTTGAAGAATGTAACTATCATATCATACCTCTGGTCTAAATATATCCAGGTCATGTATACTTAAAGCTAACTGACCAGTTATTGTAAATACTTCTAGAATAATCCTGAAGAGTTCAGTAGATGATGTGAGCTTGAGTTCAAATCTTGGTGTCACCAACTGTCTGATTTTTAAGCAATTCACTCGACCTCTCATCCAGAATGCTCTCATTGGTGAATGAGAGATACCACTTCTTTTGAGTACAAATATTCCTCACAAAGCACTTTTAATACTAATCATGAGCAAAGGGTTTCATAAGCAAGGTAAACTTGGCTGCTATTTCTGCTGATGTCGATAACGGAGTGAAAACACATGCCCCTGCTGACTGGTGGGCTCTGACCCAGTGGGACTCTCGGTAACTGCACGGTAAGCTGGGAAATTGCTGCCAGCACAGGCTAGAGTCTACGTTTCCCGTGCTACATAAAAAATACCAACAAAAGATATGCAGTGATGCAGATCTATAATCCTCACTACTTTGGAGGCTGAGGCAGCCTGAGGCATTGCAAGTTCCAGGCCAGCCTGAGCAACTTAGCAAGACCCTGTCTCAAAATAAAATTTAAAAAGGGCTGGAGGTGCAGCTCAGTGGTGGAATGCTTGCCTAGCATGTGCGAGGCCTTGGGTTTAACCCTGAGTACCACAAAAAGACAAAAGTAAAAACAAAGTTCCTGGCTTATAGCTCCGAACAGTTATCTTTTGGGACGTAGGATTTTCTGGAGATGCCTCAGTAGTCACAGGGAAGATGACAGCCAATGAGCACACCCATTACTATGTACAAACATCTCTGCAAGCCCTGGCTTGGCTCAGGGCCAGGGCTGAGGTGGGGTACAGAGCTCAGACACTCTTCGACCACTAAGTCCCTTTTGCTTTTTGAAATGCTTCAAAGTTGTAGACCTCAAGGGGCTGTTTAAGTGCTAGGCACATCCTCTTCAGATGAAATACTTTCTATGGTGTCAATGTCAATTTTAGCTTCTATAAACTTCCCTCCTTTCCTTCTTCATAGCTCTGACATCAAAATCTCTAACTCTGAGATGGGCATAGAGGGGTATATAACAACCTTATTTTTCTTTCGTATTTCCTGCTAATGACTATCAAAATTGGACCTATAAATGTCGCTATTAACACTAAAGTGGGTAAAGTTTCACCAATTCATTCCAACTACTGCATGAGATGATGAAAAATGAGTGAACTGGATGGATATTAGAAATATTTTAAGAAAAGCAGCTTTAATATTTTCAAGTACACAGAGTAACACAAGTAAGATTAAAGTGCTCCTTGGTGATTTTCCCAAGTATACTTAATGAATAGAAATGATGTGAGATTTTCTTGAATAGAATATTATACTCAGACACATAATTCTAAATGCTTATAAACAGCGCTCTGAGACACCCACACTTTTTGAAAAATTTATTTTTCTTTTCCTTTAAAAAATTAATCATACTAAGCACATTTTAACTGCCTTTCAGAGAGTAATCACTTGTGTATTAATTTTTTTCCTTTTTACTTACAGTCAGTAAAACGTCTTTGACTCACTCCTTCAATTATTCTAAATCATGAATAAATGTGGGCTTGAACAGAAGTCTTAAAATGTTTGCAAGCTATGATTTCAGATTATTTCTCCTTGCCCATTAAACTACCTTATTACACCTTTCTAAAAACTTCCGTATCATGTTAAATCAAAGTACTAATAAATATATACTTACACGGTATATATGAGGCCATGGTTATAAGAAGAAAATAGTAGTAGTCAAAAGAGACATTGTATTTGTTAGGAAGTCTTATGGAAAACATTCCTGTTTTCTTCACATATGGCAAGGCGGCGTATATTGTGAGAAGTTCACCAGCAACTCCAACAGGGTATAAGATGATAAAAAAATTATATCTAGAGAAAGAAAAACCTCAGAGAATTATTTTTCTGGAATAATTATTGGATTTTACAGCATGGTTCTTTCACTACTACTGCACTTAAGTTTAAGAGATTCTCCTGTTTGTGCATATTTACAATAACTGCATGAGGTTAATTTTTCTGCTTAGTAACTATTATTCTTCTTTCTAAGTAAAGTTTCCACTCCAAATGGCAGTATCTTCTTAGTCAAGTTACTTTACAGTAGTGAAATACTTTTATACATTTTTTAAAAAGTATACACAGGTTTTGTCTGTTTTGAGATGAGATCACACTATGTTGTTAAGGCTGGTCTCAAACTCCTGGGCTCAAGACGTCCTCCAGACTTCTGGGACTACAGATTTACTTTTTTAAGTACTGTAAAAGGATCTGCTTTGGCACATGGGCTCATAACTATTTTTTTTTCAGCTAGTCATTTATTAATCAATTGCTGTGCTTGAAAACGCTAGTTTAAGATGTCAATTTTATACCTGCACCTTGAAATTACTAAAGTACAGTAGTTATTTTTAAAGGTACCTGAAAAACTTCATGGCTGCTAACTGAACATAATTACTACTGCAGAAAACTGATTATGCTACATAAAACATCCGTAACTAGTAATGAGTATACTGTCCAAAGATGGTTTCACAAAAAAATCAGTAAGATAAGGTTGAGATCTAAAATGTTCCCCACAAGTTTCATATGTTTTAGAGATGGGAGCTTTTGCAAGGTGACTGGATCATGGGGGTCCTTTACTCGTCAATGGATGAATTCATTGATGAGGCCATACCTGAATGTACTATTAGGAGGTGGGGCCTAGTTGGAGGAGGGGCCAGCAGGGATGTGACCGGAAAGAGACAAGTCTCTGCCCCTCCATCTCTCTGTTTCCTGGCTGCTGTAAATTAAGCAGCCATGTTCCATCATTCCCTTCCATCATGCCATTTGTGCCCTGGAGTCAGCCAACCATGGACTGAACTCATAAAACCATGAACCAAAACAAACCTCTCTTCTGTAAAGTTGCAAGTGTTAGATATTTTGTCCCAGCAATAGGAAAGTGACTGATACAAGCCATTTCAAAGGAATACAGAGTTGGCTTGCTTAAAAACAGAGCTGAGAAAGTTCTATCCAAAATACCAAATCACCATTTGTTCATATGGATTGTGGCAAAGTCTCCACCACAGAGGAGGCTAGCATACTTATGCTTTGGTTCTACTGGTCTTTAACAGGAGAACCTAAAAGATTCAAGACAATGACATTTTCCTATTAAAGAAAATCATTTTTCTGTAAGTCACCAGATTCCTGGGTACCATAGATATACAAAGACAAGAGATGGGGAAGAACGGTAAAAGTATTTGCCAAAATAGATTAATGAGTAAAAAACAGAATGATCCCTTTATTGAACCTGTTGTCCTTTCTTTGCCCCGATTATGTACCTGCTTTCTTACCAGTCTTCTATAGTTATCACGTAAATCAATCTTTCTCTATCTCAAATTTTAAAATCACATTACTGAACATTTTATATTCCCTTCTCAAAACACCCAAAATGACTTTGTTTTACTCTATGTGGTTCTCAAACAATTTCCGTAGTATTGTTCTTTAATAGAAAAACATTATCTCTCTGAGAATATTACTCCTAGAATAAAGCCTTAAGAAAAATTAACATTTCTAATGAAATGGGAAGAAATTATATAACTTTCTTGACTTTAGTTGCACTTAAAAAGATTACTTATCATTAAGTTCTGAGGGAAATATGGAAGACTTATCCATAAACCACATTCAGAAAAAAATTTAATGCTTCCTCAGAGACTTCCAATTGTTACCTAAAATTTTTTTAAAGAAAACAAAGTCTTTGTAAATAAAGAGTGGTGGAGGGGTTGAAGGAAGGGCAGGGGAATGGGGAAAAAATAAGAATCAAGATATATTATGTAAAGGTACAAATCTCCAATGATGAATGTCATTATATTGTACAATGTATATTGTATATTGTATAAAATGTACCAATAAAATTAATTTTTTTAAAAAAGAAAATTCAATTTTGAAAGTAAAATGGAAATCAATATGAAAACATAACCCAATATTTTATTATTCTGTGGACTTTTTCAAAAAGACTTTCAACACATAAATTCAAAGGACATTCAAATCCTGATAGAAAGTCAAACTATTTATAAATAAGAAGCCAGTTCTAATGTGAAGTTTTACTTGAGAACAATAGCTTCCACATTTGAATTTAAATATGAATATTATTTTGGACTACTTAATGAGGTTCGCAAATATATTTTGACAGTTGGAATTTTAAAGGTTTTTTTGGACATGAAATTAATTATTCATGATTAAGATATTATGCTAACACATGCATTTCAAACTTGAAAGATCTTATGTAACACCTTGTTTAACATCAAAGTCACTAACAAGTGTTTTCTAAACAGCAAACTTAAACATCAAATGGCAGAGTGTTGTACTTTTCTAGAAACGAAAGACATGCAAACACATTCTAAAAAGGAAAGGCAAAGCATTAAAGACTAATGTGCTTGACCTAAGGAAAAGTACAAGGTGCATCCTGTTATCTTCACACAAATTTTGTGAACATCATGTACGAAAAGAGACTATGTCATGAGCTGATGTTTGTAAAGGCTCCAGAAGTCCAGAAAATTATCATACAAAATGGTATTGATATGCTAAGATAAAGCTCAACTACATTCAATTCTACTGCCAATACTTCAAAAAGCCCCAAAATCACTAAAAGTGAACACATTTTCATGTACAAAACATATGACTAATAGTGCAACCTTCTTAGGACAATATTGTTTAGGCTCAATTTATCATTTTAAAACTTTATGATATGCAAAACGTTAAGCCACAAATGTCCAAAAAAGACCTAGAGGACATTTTTAAAGGTCTGAGAGACTACATAATACAACAGTGATCATTCTTGTGTAGAGGGATTATAAGTAATTTTAAAGTTTTTATTTTTTTATTTATTCATATATTATCATTTGTTAGATTTGAACATATATAATACATGAGTTATTAAAAAAAAGGACTAATCACTAGAGAAAAGGTATCAGGCTTTTAATACATGAGGATCAGAAACAAGTCTGAAACTAGCAAAGAATGTATTCCTACACATATCACTGTTTTTAAAAATATAGATTTTTCATGCTACATAAATATGGCATCATTTATAATGTCTCTGAGCATTACTTATAATATCAGAAGGCTGAAAACAATCTAAATTCTAGCAATAGAGAACTGGTTCAATCATACTGTGGAATATTATGTAGCAAAGAACTAGATCAAAATGTATCTGCACTGAAAGAAAAAAAAAAGCTCCAAGATATGCACAGAAAACAAGCATAATATCAGCCTGTTAAACCTACATATGTGTTTTTACATTTGTGTTATTATGAAAACTCTAGTTGGGGACAGTTTCCTCCTCTAGGGACAAGCTGAGGGCTGCACAGAAAGATAAACAGCTTTGTGGGAGTTTTTTATTATTAATTATATCGGTACTTTTTTTTTTTTTGGTACCGCGGATCGAACTCCGGACCTTGCACTTGCGAGGCACGCGGCGGAACCACTGAGCTAAATCCCCGGTCCTATATTGGTACATTTACAGTATACAATGTAATGACATTCATCACTGGAATTTGGAATTTTGCACCTTTACATAATCCATCTTGGTTCTTATTTTTTCCCCATTCCCCTTTTCTGGGTTTATTTTATATATATATCTGCATTGTTTGAACTTTTTACAGTGAAAACATATTACTTCTATAGTTTATATCCTTAAATAATTCTAAGAATGAAAATCTTCTTTACCTCTTCTATCTTGCCTATATGGAACTTACACTTTGCATTTACTACCACTAACACCTATTAGGGTTTCTAATTTTTTGCCGTCATCCTGAGAGGATATAAACCCCTGCATCCCAGGTGTGCAGCAAGTATGCACTACCTGTCACTGCTACTTTGCTACTGCTACTTTAAGTACAAGAACAGAATAAGCAAATCGATGCTGGTTTTGATTTCTTCTCCAAAAATTCTGATGTGTGCTGGTGGTATAGTGGTGAGCACAGCTACTTTCCAAAAAGTAGTTTTATTTTTATAATAACTTGATAAAATATCAGTTTCTCAAAGAATTCAATCTTCAAAAAGAATAGAGCATTTTTTCACTTTAAAAATACTGCTTTTGGATATAAATTTGGTCCACATTCCAAATAATACAATTTAAAGTATAAACTTTGTAAGTCTGTCTCAGCTATTTATATCAAAAACAGAAAAAGATGATGCTTATACAATGAACTAAAAATTGTGACTATTAAAATAATTTAAATCAAACAAATAAAATACCACATTTTGGTACAGTTTTTTCAATATAATTCCAAAAATATATAAGGTGTTTTCAAATGAAAATAAATGACTGGTCCTGAAGTTACTTAAGAATATGATTTGCCTGGGATTGATGTTATACAAGATGTATTTTAGTATGACTTGTCTCTGATCATTAAATCCAGCTTTTTGAATACAAGCTGTGATGCTGCTAATATCCAAAACAAGAGCATGCTGCTATCATGAAGCTACAACACAAACTTTAATTCTTTGGTGTTAGCTCAGCACACAAAATCAGCATGCACCAGACAGTGAGACATTAAAGTGCAAGACATCGCCACCTGGCCCACTTAATGAAGTATGGCAAGTGGTTGAGAAGGCTGAATGTGTAGAAGGAATAGCGAGTGATCTCAGTCACCGTCCACGAGACCAGAAAAAGCACCACACTCTCCTCATTCTGGATCTGCAAAATTAGAGAGAAATCCAATGCTGGTCAACCTTGAATTGATGTTTTGGTGAGCTGTGTGTTGTGCTCATTGTCAACATTTCTTGTCTTTTCTTACAATGGAACGTTCAGGCTAGACGGAGCCGATATGGAACACTTAATAAAGTCACTATTAAAGAATTAGTTATAAACATTGAACTTATGTGCTACGCACAGAAATGGTCAACTATTACCTAGTTTTTCTCCCTTGCCCTTCGCTCAAGGCAGTAACCCCACTATCCTAGGAAATCACCCCCTTACAATCTGGGCTGATGGGAAACTGCTGTGGCAGAAAAGAAACCCTAACAGGAAGAAAGAGAAGAGCAGCTAGGAACAGAGAAGGAACAGCCTTCTCCCATGGAGAAGACAAGCAGAAGGAGCCTCTCTTTCCTTTGCAGAGTCACTACCTAGCTTTCCTTTAATTTCGTCTCTAGTTAACGCTGGCCACCCCATCACTACCTTTCTTCTCATTTATTCTTCAGATGCCTCGTGGTCCTAGCCTAGCTATTGCATCCATTCACTCCCTGAACAGCCTCCCCTTTATTCAGTTAATGTACTCCTGCTTTGACAGTAGTAAGCGATCTTCATTCATGAGGAGTTTGGCTCTCTGGGAGGCCCAGGATCGCTGCTATCCACAGGGCAGTCACCAGTGAGGGACCAGGTGGATTGAGTAAGTCGAGTGAAAAATGCCAGTCAAGACGGCTAAGGTGCAGAGTAATAAGAGGGCAGAAGGTCAAAGATCTGTCCCCACGTAGACAGGAGGCCAGAGAGGCTTTGAGGAAACGAAGAGGAGGTCAGATGTCCGTCCCAGGGCACAGAGGAGACAAGGGAGGAATCTGCAGAGTGGAAAGGGGGCCAGAGATCTGTCCTCAAATAGACAGGAGACTACAAAGGCTGTCAAGAAGGTCAGGAGGGCTGAGCCGGGAAATGTTTCTGACGTGGGCTTAAAGGGCCCAATATGTATATTCTGACACCGTCTCCCGTGGGTCTGTTTCCTCTAAAAGGCCTAAGCTCTGATTTAGATTCAGTCAGTCTCTCCCTCCTTGCTTCCATAAATAATACCTTTATTTTTCCCCAAGTTTCTCAATCCCAACTTTTTTGAAATTCTTTTTTAATTGACAAATTAAAAGTATGTATACAGATGGTGCAGAATATGTTATTAACTAGTGACCCTGTTTATGACAGATCTGCACTTATGCCTCCTGAGATTTTTATATCCTTTGATAAAAAGACTCACTTTTAATTTTTTCCATTTGTTCAGACATACAGAACTATATTGACTTTTATGTCTTTGCTACAATATTCAATGCTAAATGAGGAAAAATAAACTGTTTATGCTGACACTTTCAATTACATAAAGAGAATAACTTTGATAAGGAAGAAACTTCAACAAAAAACATTTCAGTTTGTGATCTGACAAATGATACAATTTTAAAAACCACAAAAATATCAAAGAGTACAGTATGGCTATAAAACACCAATACTTGGTTTTGCTGTGTTTCGGTCATTCTACTACAGCACTAAGTCAGTGTAGGCTGCTAATTTAATCCCAGCCCAAGTCCTTCATGGCCTAATCATTCTGCTTCCTGAAATGTAAGAATGTCAGTATTTTAGATCCCTAATGATGAAAAGCTTGCCTACATGTTCAGGTAGAAAACACATCTACATCTCTTACCGGTTTTATGCTGTGAGTAACCAGCCACACCATAAAGATTCTTGAACTCACTTGGACCCCAGTCACAAGCACAGAAGTAGGTACAATTCCTTGAAGAGAAAAATAAATCAACTACTGCCCTAACGACAATTTATAACAAAAAGACAAAAATTCAAGAAAAACTCACCAATTAAACAGTGGACTATCTGTAAGCAAATAAAAAAAAAATCACAAGTCAATAATATAAAGCATAAAATAAATCCCTATCAACTCTGGTATTAAATAAATCCATAGGTGGTATGTAATAAGCAAAATAAAACTGGTATCATTCAACAAAAACATAGTCAAATAAGCATTATAGAAAAACAACATGATGAAAAACTTACCTCAAGCAAGGCAAATGTTTGGAAAAATTTAAGTGTCTTCTGAATACTTTTATATAAACCTCTGTGAGTTCCTTTTTCCATATAAAAACGTACCATGGCAATAGCTAGAACCAACCACCTAAAGAAAATAAAAGTATTTTATAAAGTTCTATTAAAATCAGTATCACTAATGTGTGCATGCATGCTCAAAGCAGTATTATTAATAATAACTAAAAGAAAGAAGCAAACCAAGTATCCATCAATGGCTGAATGGATAAACAACGTATGGTTTAAACGCAATGAAATATTACTCAGCCTTCAAAAGGAAAGGAATTCTGACACTTGCTATGACATGGATGAATCTTTAAGACACTAGGCTCAGTAAAATAAGCCAGGCAAAAGGACCATGCTGATGGCCACACAACAATGTGAATGTAAACCAGGTGTGGTGGCACACACCTGTGATTCCAGCACTCGAGCAGCTGAGGCAGGAGAATTGCTGCGAGTTCAAGGCCAGCCTGGGCTACATAGTGAATTCAAGGCCAGCCTGCACTGTATAGTGAGACTCTGTCTCAAAAAAAAAAGAAAAGAAAGAAAGAAAGAAGAAAAAAATAGAACAATGTGAATATACTAATGCCGCTGGACTGTACATTTTAAGAAACTTAAGGTGGTCAGTTTTCTGTATATATTATCACAATTTTAAAAATATCACTGAACTTCCTGAAAAGAAGTGCCACAATTTACATGGTTTTGCTACATATATATTTATATAATTAAGCTATTTAGTTATGCCATTTGTCACTATGCTCTTGATTCATTATTCTATTTTTTTAAAGCTGACAGGAGAAAAAAAATGACAAATAATACTTTTATGTTGACGCTAGAAGAAGAATAATAGAACATATAAGGGACCAACTACAGACAAAACAAGGTCCTGAGTATTTTTGGTTTCAGCAAATAAACTGAAAGACTAAAATTACTACCAAAAATAACACTGTTGTGCAGCATTTTAACAATACATAAATACATAAATGTATCTTGAGAAAAAAAGCTTTCAAATGCAGTATCATGTATATAAATATGTATTTTATACAAATACATAGCATATCATGTAGGTACAAGTGGAAATCTTTACTAAAAATCATCATTTATAATTTACATAATTTTCACTAAATAAAAACAATTGATGCACCATAGAAGGAATACATATGGAAGATCATATGAGAGCCTGTTTTCAAAGAATTTATTTTTTAAAAAAGAAAAGAATACATACGCCCTTGCTTTTCAACTTAGAGTCATGCCCGGGGTTAAATATACATTCTGTTCCCATGAATTAAGAGTACGTAAAATATAAGTTGTACTTGCGGAGACCAGTTTTTCCTACTTTTCGTTCTTCCCAGAGTCACGAGAGGTCATTTTTCCTCAGTTCCCCTTACAATTACCAAGGCACACCAGAGGTTAAGGAAGCCGCCACATCTGTAGCTTTTTGAAATCTTTGGTAAATACATCCCTGAAAATGAGTAGCCTAGTCTTTAAAAGCAGGGACCTCAGAAGTGCCTAGGTGGATTTATGAAATACAAAATCATGGAGTCTTCACTTTAAACTAAACAACACTTGCTCAGACCACAGACCAGTGGTTGAAAAAGATTCCTGCACAGAAACCACTGGCTGAATGTGGTGAAGGTGTGAACTCCATAGAACAGCAAGAAAACAGCAGAATGGCACTTCTAGAACTTCTCCTTAGCAGGGTGGGGTAAAAGCAATGACTTTCTCAGCAGGTGTGAAAGAAGTCAGGTAAATAAATGGCTGAAACTAGCAAAGACGTTAGAAATGGAGAAATATTCATGATGACAACAATGGCTTGCTACGTTCTAGACACTGTTACATAGTAACTCATGATACTCACAATAATCATAAGGTAAGAGAGTACTATGGGATTCAGGGTACAGAGGGACAGCCAGCCAGCCAGCTGGGACCTGAACTTAGCACTGAGCTTAAAGTCTCTGCTCCCATATCCTGATGCTATCTTGGGCTGGCTCTAGGCCTGCTCTGTGCCCTGGGATATTAGCAGACACGGCCACTCATGCTTAAGTAAGTGCATTATCAAAGTTACATGGAGGGGCCGGGGATTTAGCTCAATGGTTTCGCCGCCTGCTGTGCAAGCGCAAGGACCCAAGTTTGATCCCCGGTACCAAAAATAATAAAAAAATTTAAAAAGTTACATGGAGACTGTGTGCTCAAGTAATTGGTAGCAGCGTGCTCTCAAAAAAGCAAAAGTTTGAAGGCCACTCCAAGGGGATCTGAACGCTAAGTTTCAGACCTCAGTTTCAGAGGAAGCTAGTGACAAGGTCGAAATACAGGCTCGGAGGTCTCCGAACTCGGTCCTGTTGTCTTCACAGCCTCACTGCATTCCACTTCGGTTTCATCTTCTGTGAAAGCCAAGCGTGAACTTAGTTAATCTGAGCGTGTTCGTGTGGATAGTGTTCTAGGTACCTTCCAGGGTTAAAATTGTATGATTCCATTATTTTTGATTCCAAGTCCCTGTGCTTCCAATAAGAACATGAAAAGCTAAATATCTCATTCACATTTCCCATACATTTGTCTTTTTTCAGGAAGACCCATGTGTAAGAGATAAATATGAGAAGCAACTAGTAACCTGCCAGAGAACTCATCAGAGGATTAATTTAAATGTCATTTTCCATAGATTTCAATAGCATTGTATAAAAGTCCATGTATTGGATTACAGGTTTTACTGTTGTCCCGTAGGTGGCAGTATTGTACCAAGTAGTACAGCATCACATACCAGTCCAAACCTTCTATATCTGCTTTCCAATAAACAAAGCCAGGCCCTAATCTAATCAGAGCTCACTTCCTAAACCCTCTGTCACAGGGAGACATAATCAAAGTTTCTCTAAGGGCCCTACATTTAATTAACTTTAGCCTTCTTTCAACCATCAGGTTCGGAACTGTGGTAAAACAACCCAAAAGCAATTGGAATTTCTGCCACTAGGAATTCTTTTCTGGGACGTTCTGTTCTGTTTTCTGTTTAAATGCTCCAGGGCAGTTGATCACATGAACCCAAACAAATAACAAAGCAAACAGAAAACATGCTCCATAGATAGAAATTTTCTTGCTGCTTAATTCATTCGTACATTTATTTCTTTCAGGCTCAACACTAATTGGCTAAGCCAGGTACTGAGCTAGGAAACTAGAGAAAAAGAGGTAACTGTGTGCTGCAGGGGACTCTTAAATCAGTAAGTGGCGATAAGACAGGCGTGCTGTAAGGAGACGCACACTCCATGACCTGGAAAACACAGGGGCCTTTGTCTCCTGCTGCTACAGCCACAGCTGACCCCAACCACCCCTACTGCAGTGGGTCTCTGTCTTCTAGCTGTCTTCCAAGGCTTCTTACGTTCTTAGAAACTGCCCATCCATTCCTTGACAGTTATCTACAATTCTATCTCCTTTAAAAAAAATAACATTGCCTTTTAACATTGTGAGCAATTTCAAACACCTATCATTGTATGTATTCTAATACATATATTATATATTATCTATATTACCATATATACTATATGGTATGTGTTTGTATTATATTTGTAAACAATTAGCAAAGTCGTTTTGTCATTCCGGTTTTACAGATGAGAAAACTAAGGGTCAGAGAGATTCCACTTGTCCAAAGGTTACCCAGCTACAAAGTAGTGCAACAAAACCTGTAATAAACACATTCCGGCAATGCTGACAGACTGAAATCCAAACAGATCACCAAGGCACCTGAAGCCCTTTGCAATAACCCAAGGTCCCTGTCCCAGTCTACGCTGGAGCCCTCTGTGTCTGCTGTTGCCTCAAAGGACATCTCGCCTCCTCGTGGCTTCACATCTCTAGCCTAACTCGTGCTATTGCATCATCCATGCCTGTTAAGTCCTACTTATCCTTAAGAGCTTAGTTTCAATGCTGTGATTTCCTTCATAAAGCTTTCTCGGATTCTCCCTACCTGTCTTGCCTCTGACACCTCTGGGGACCACTTATCTCATTCGTTCACTGCAGTCACTGTTTATGTGTAAATGTTCCCAGTTACATTTCTTCAAAAACAGGTCTAGAATAGTCAACGTATGTCCCACGCTTGACCCACCACAGTAGACGTATACATACAGGTTCAGATGTGTTTGCTGAAAAGCTGGGGAGCTGTCTCATTTGCCTCAACAGAAGCCCATTATGAGCAAGCACCATAAAAATCCTTCAAATTGTCATTCTACTCCTGGGGATTTACCCAAACCCACAAAATTCAACATGAACAAAAGCAAAACATCGTCAGGGGCCTGATTTAATATGTTATTGTATGTAACTTTATACACTCTTGTACGGCCATAAAAAGTGTGATTATGAAAGCTATATGGAAATACTTGTTAGAATATTAAAGAAAAAAAGAGAATATACAATAGAGCAGATATTGTAACAACAATGCACTAAAGTATATATTCATTCAGAAAATATTTACTGAGGACTTCCTAAAGTCCTTCCCACTCTAATGGGGAAGACAGACAATAAGCTATGAAGAATTAGTAAAATAAATGGTACAGCTATATGGCCATAAGTGAGATAGAGAAAAATAAAGCAAGGGAGATAAAGGAGTGTCACTATGTGGGTCACTATTTCAATTTGAAGATCCCTAAATAAAGCCTTCCTGAAAAGGGAGATTTGAGTAAAAACTTGAAGAAGGCTACACACTCATGAAATATATTAAGGGAAAATGAAAAGTTACGCTCGGCTTATAGAATTAGACAAGTCCTTTTTAACATTTGTGAGGACATTTGCTATATTTCTTAAATACTATTTTATGTTTTCAATATCACAAAAAAATTAAACACCCCAAAGTTCTGCTAAAAGGGAAAAAAAACAAGGTCAATGGACAAAAAGAACCTCCCTCCTGTCACCCCACTAAATGTATATGATTTCATTCCAATCTCAAAAACACAATTTCTCCAGTCTTATTTATCACTACTCCCTAACTGGATCCTCCAATTCAACAGAGAGAATACACCAGCCTTGCATCTCATGCTTCTCTCTGCAATTTATCTCATTTGAAATACGTGCTCCGTGCATATGCAAATCCTACTCTGTCTTCAACGCTCAATGCCTACAGAAAAGTTCCACCCAGAGTTAGTTCCAAGGATTATTCCATTTCAGTTATTCTTGCTTGATGGAAATGACAAGGGACATTCTCAACACAGGTAGAGAGACAGGTAAGTTTAGAAAGAGCACTAAGGAAGGGCGAGAAGAACAGCAAGACACTGTGAGAACACAAAGGAGAGAGCACTGAATTCTGCAGGGGTGAGGTGGGACACCTAGAAAACCTCAAAGAGGTTGATTTGATCACGAGTCATGGGAAGAACACAGAGTGACAAGGCTGCGCAAAGATGCAAAGCACTGTGATGAGGAATCTGAGGAACAGAAATCAGAGGAGAGTTCAAAGGCAAGAGAACTGGAAAGAGGGATCCCGGAGCATACTGCAAATGGCCCTGAATGACAGACAGCCTAAGTCCCTTAAGGCAAAGACTAGTCAATGGGAATCGCTAAAGGCTGCATGTATTTATTTTTATTTCTTTTCGCTGAAGACGTTAAACTGGAATTGTGTAGTGTTGTTCAGTTTTGAAATGGGAAGCTGGCCTTCAAAATGGAGAGGGCTGGAAAAGGAAGGGGCCGACAACCAAGGAACACATGGCAGATATTCCAAAAATGTGTATCAACTGGATGAGACCGGCCCAGAGAAGCTTCAGTCCCTCCGGCTTTGAAAGGCAGCAGTGTGCTGGTAGGTACCGAACGAACGGATCTCCATCGGTTTTCAATGTTACTTTTCTCTCCTTTCAAGATTGCAAAACGTGGGAAAGGAGCAAGAGGACGTAACACAGCTCTGGACTCTCATGGGTGGAAATCCATGTCCGACATTTGCTGTCCGTGATCTTGAGCGAGAGACTTTGCCTCCTCGTCCTTCAGTTTCCCTATTTGTAAAATGCAGTATCTTGTACCCCTCACAGAATTGTAGAGAACTAAAACTGAGATAATACATCGTAAAGAAAAAAAAAAAGTGGTGTCTGACACAGTAATTCCTCAACAGTTTTATGAACGGGTTTGGGTTTTTTTTTTGGTATTCAGAAGCTGAGTACATAATAGTCAATACTGTACTCAAAGGGTCATTAAATCTTTGCTAATCACTTTGTTCTATATAAATCCTGGAGAAAGGTTACAATAATTTTCCTTATAGTTATATAGGCTGATAATACTTCGCTTGGCACTGGGAAAACAGCTTTCCGAGAGGCGATATAGTGGAGCAGAAAAGCACCCTCCAAACAGGTTTGGAGGAGGAGGTGACACCGGAGTCTCTCTGACAGCTCCTGGAGGAGCGAGTCGCGGTGGGGCCCGAAGTCGCAAGTCCCAGCAGGAGCCAGAAATGCAAGCCTGGGATGTCAGTAAAGGGCCTGAGATCTAAAGACGCAGGACACGATGACCCTACCTTGGTGAGGTAGTGTTTGCAGAAGAAAGCTCGTCCCGAGTGAGGAGCGCTAAGAGCAACCGAGCTCCCGTTAACAGAGAAGGCAAAGTCGGAGGAAAGGCCAGGAGAACTCCGCACACTGATCGCAACCGCCCCGCATTCCCGCAGGTCTATACTTAACTCCCCGCCAGGCCGCTGCCCCACCGGGCTCCGTATTAGGCAAAGTCCGCGACCGCGCCGCCCCCTCCCCC